TTCTTGATATACATTCTATTTTGATTTCCCTCTAATGATTTTCGCTTGTTTAGTTTAATTATTAGATGTATTGGATTTTGGCTGCATATTCTCTTATAGTTGGTGTACATATCAGCACGAGCCCTGAGTGATACGATCGGAATGTGCACCCAACAACAGTTCTCAGCACGGTGCAGTTCTAATGGAAAGAGTGGATTCCATTGTATCACAGCTGCTGCTTATTATCCGTTTATTCCAAGTTTTCATACACATCTGAAGAAATGTTCATTGCAGTTATGTATTCGTGTCTTGACTGACAGCTGGTTGAGCACTATCCACGCAATAGCTCTGTAATAAGACGTTCTTACCAAGCAGTAAGCAAAATACCAGGTTTTAAACCTGGTCGCTTTTTCGTGATAAAACCTGACTCCGGAATGATAGCCAACGTTATAAGAACACATTTTTCACCCTTCATAAGAACTAACAGCCCACGTTCGTGACTATGCTCACAGTTTTCGCGCCATCTCGTTCAACATGAAATCTGTAATTCTCATTTGTTTTTTGACGATTTGATTTCCCTGATTACGATGTGTTTTGTTGCCGACTTCAAAAGTATTGCTTCCGTCTTTTTTGGATGATATCATCTGTGCATTGTGATTCGGTTGGAATATTTCACACCTATGTTGTCATTGTAAGAATACAATGAATTTACCAACCGAGAGTGTAGGTTACGGGGAGGGGAATTGGGGTGGGGGGGGGGGGGATGATTGTTGGTAAAACACCACGATTAAACGAAAACGTCTCAGTTTGGCTCCTCACAGCGTATTTATTGCAGCCTGACCTAATGTTTTAAAATTTATTATACATCCACTGGGCGGCGTCCGTGGCTTAGGCGTTGCCAGTCCGACTCGTAATTCCAACGCTCCGCGATCGAAACCCACTGCTGGCTGCGTGGATTGTTATCCTGGTATGGGGCGTCGCAGGTCGACCTAGCCTAAAAAGGGTACCAGGATGGCTGACCTGAGGAAGTAAAGACGGCCGGCGTAATGCTGACCACATTACCCACCTAGTGCCGATGGTCTGCACAAATATGGACGCTTTTCCAATATGCCCGATACGCCTAAGGGCGGGAATAGGGATCTTTACCCTATTTACTTTTATACATCCAGTGTGGGTCGGGATGCCCCATTTTATCTTGAGGGGGAGGGGGGGGGAGTGGGGGCGGAATGTGCGTGGAATTGCCCTTAACAAGAATGTCATAAAAAATAACTAATCTAAGACTGCTGAAATCTGATGTTTTGGAATAAAAGACATCACAACCTAGCTGCAGACCACAAACAAGGAACTAACCATCCTTTTGAGAGCGTAGACAATAAAAAAAAATGCAGTATACTTAAGTAGGTCAGCAGTTGTAACTTAGAGGCTATGAACGAAGTGTCATAATTCTAACTTACTGCTTTTTTCATGGCTGCAAAGGGTGTCGTGAATATTTTGGGTAACTGTCGGTAGATCTAGTATAACCTTACGGTTGAACGGGGCTTACCATGATTGGTACAGGTTGGATTCTCAACCTTGAGGTGTTCATCATGCGGAGAGTAATCCTGGACAGGACAAACTGTAACTTCAGCTGCAGGCGATTTGGCAGCAGATCACTTCGCATTTTTGACAATGTTATGAGCGTTGTATAGTTTAGACAGCAATGGTAAACTTTTTGAACTTAAAAGTGTTAGGTGAAACCAAAAGCAGCTAACTTCTTCTTTACTTGCATTTAAAGGGCCATTTGCGTTGTAGTTTACAGCTAGTCTGCAATATCTGAGCCTTTCTGCCAAACAAATTTGATTTCTGTAAATGAAAAAAATTTATTGATTCTTACCGTCTTGTTTGTAGAGGGGCTGACGGTCTACTCTCGCATCAACACCCCCTCCCTCCCCCCTCACTTTTTTCCAAAAAAAAAAAAAAAAAACCACACACGAGGGGTAATAACACAATTCTACTGAAAATGTGATGGAGTATTTACAAAGTATGTCAAAGGTGTGTTTAAAGACACAAGACATAAAATCTATGCAAAACAAAAGCGTGCAGCAAACTGTAAAACACGCGTAACGTCATACTCTATTCAACAAGCAAAACTAAATTACATTTTACATAAGTAATTAGACATCAAATCTGAGATAGAAATTAAAATTAGGAGTCAAATATATATATATATATATATATATATATATATATATATATATATATATATATTTGACTCCTAATTTTAATATATATATATATATATATATATATATATATATATTATATATATATATATATATATATTATATATATATATATATATATTATATATTAGGGTTGTACCAAATAACGGGACCAACTGTTCGGCCGAGTACGAATACGAATACGATTAGTGTATAGTCTATTAAATATATCTAAAAAACAAACAAAAAACCTTTGCATAGTTAGTTAGTTAGTTAGTTAGTTTAGTTATCATCATTGCACTCCGGACATGTCCATAGGTGCTCAGATCCTCCCCTCAGTATGAACCCCAACGTCCGATGGCTAATAGTACCAGTTCTATGTTGATTAACAAGTCTTCTGACGTGTCCGGTTTGCGTCTCGTATTTTGCTGTGCCGATCTTAATTCCCAAGCCTGCCATTCTGGCGAGTAATGTGGATTCACATCACAACCTTTGCATAATGTCAAATGAACGCTGAACTTTTACTTCACATAAAGTAGCACAGAATAGTCTTCTGTAGCATTCTGAGCCTTTGAGGTTTACTGCTGCAGATATCACTCGTCTCCATTCATCTCTCTGGCTAACCTTCTTTTCACAATTTGTGACACCAGTTGTTTGCAGGGCTGGCTGGACATAAACTTCTTTTTTGTCTGCCTCGTGGTCTACGACCATTCATCTCCCTTGTGTATACAGTTTTTACTTCTCTGTCATCTGACATTCTTTCAGTATGCCCCAACCATTTTAGTCTGTTAGCTTTTATGATGAGAGTGATCAATGGTGATTCAAACAGATTATGCGTTACGTTGTTGCTTCTCACTTTCCATTCCCCGCTGTTAGCATCTTTGATGGGTCCAACGATTTGTCGTAAGACTGTTTCAAAAACCAGTAATAAGGACTCATCTCTTTTATTTCTGCTTCAAGTTTCAGAGCCATTTAAAACGACTGGTCTTATCAACGTTTTATATATTTTGATTTTGGTGTTGTGAGACATACACTTTGATTTTAGCAGATGTTGAAGGGATAAGTATTCTTTATTTATAGATTGTATTCTAGATTGTATTTCTTCTCTCAGCATGTTGGCGCAGTTTAAGTTTGTACTTATATGTTTCCGTTAGTTTGAATTTTATATTATCGACTAGGGTGTGGTCGGAGTTTATATTCTTTCCATGTCTAGTTAGTATTCGTACAGAATAGTTAACTTTTAAAAACATTTTATGTTTTGCATCCTTCAGTCAGTTTGTGGTAATTAATAACTAGGAATGAAAGAATCCTAAGTATTATAACAAGTAACTAAACTTGTAAATTGTCACTGACAACTTAGTTAATTCATGAAAGCTGCATTCGCCTTCAACAAAACCAATCATTCCATGTCGTCAGTATTAAGGTCGTGTATGCAGAAGCGGATGTAAGGTAACTACTATTCGTATTCGGCCCGACCGCAACTATTCGGCTGAATACCGAATAGTCAATATGTCCACTGTTCGGCCCCGAAGCGAATACGAAGCTAATATTCGGTACAGCCCTAATATATATATATATATATATATATATATATATATATATATATATATATATATATATATATATATATATATATATATATATATATATTGATAACATATGCATGCAAACTAAAAATAAAAATAAAAAACTTTTATCAGTAATACAGTAATGGAGCTCCTCCCCGTGTCAGTTCAAGAGTCCCCCTTGGGAAGCATAAATAAACCCACTGCCTCCCCAACAAGCGTGTCGTAGGAACACTAGCAAATGTAATCCGTGTGTATACTTACGAATAGTCGCTTACAACTAAAAGAGGATTTTCATTATAATCCACGGGAACATAGAAAAAAAGGGCGAAAAAAAAAAAAAAAACTTAGAAAGGAATTAGAGAGGCGTTAGACAGAGGAAAGAGCCGTGACTCAAATTCTTCCTCTGGTCGTTTCGAACAGGGTGCCGAATTCACATCCAGAAACTTGAAAAATATACCCTAGACGCACAGATACTGATACTATTCTTCTTCTTTTGCGTTCATCAGAAGGTATTTATATGTGCCCGTTTACAACATGGCTGTGATATTTGCGCCTTCCGGTCGACACATCAGACTTCTGCCGGCATTGTTGTGTGTGCTAGCTTCACCGAGATTAAATTACTCATTGACCTCTGATTGATGCACATAGATATAGGAGTAGAGGGTCTTTATCACTATTCCGGGCCCTGTCCGGTTTATTTACACACTACGCAACTTTTCATTGATACTTGATCAGTCTGAAAAAGTTCTAGGGGTGTCGCCATGCCTGTGTCCGATGGGCGTCTTTTTTTGACCTCAAGACAAGGAGAACTCACGCGACCCTTATACTACAGCAAGTTAGCGAGCTTAACGATACCATAAAATTTGCAAGTAGGTCTAACCCAAATCCTATTTGCGATAAAGTGAACTTAGGTTCCAAGAGACAGTGCATTCTACTTGTCGCTGCAAGCCCTCTGCAATAAATTCATTTCCTTAGCAGAATCCTAGACGACTGTCATTTACCCACCAACAAACAATAACATTATATACTAAGTCGCTCAGAGAAACCACTGTGTACCTATCCGCACTCCAACACATACATAAGAGAGACTAATGACACCCCTGCCCCTTACACTTTACTGTGTGACAGCTTAAGGCCGAGTCTGACCATCTAATCACAGTGTCCTGTCCTGCCTCCGTCATTCATAAGTGGGCGGAGCCAGGGCTCGAAAACGTGAGTAGTTCCGACTTGAGTAACAAGCCTTATGCATTCAATGTGTAACAGTGAACTTTTCCTTTACTTGCTGAGGAGTGTGAAATACTCGTACGGCTCTTGAGTCGATTGTGGTAAATTTTGCTAAACTATAGAACCATTTCAATGTCGTGGTGGTAATAGTTACAATTTGTTTGTACTGGTGCTACTTTCTTGAGCTAATTCTGCTGTTTTCCTCCTCGACAGATCACCAACCGTATGGCGAGGTGAACCAACTAGGCGGGGTGTTTGTCAACGGTAGACCACTCCCCAATGCCATTCGAATTCGAATTGTGGAACTAGCTCAGCTAGGGGTACGCCCCTGTGACATAAGTCGAAAACTACGCGTCTCTCATGGGTGTGTCTCCAAAATATTGGCACGTTTTAATGAAACCGGATCGATTTTACCTGGAGCAATAGGCGGGTCTAAACCTAGAGTGACAACGCCCAATGTTGTGAAACAAATACGAGTTTATAAAGATAAAGATCCTGGCATTTTTGCATGGGAGATACGAGACAAACTTCTAACAGACGGCGTATGTGACAAGCATAATGTGCCGTCTGTCAGTTCCATCAGCAGAATTCTTAGGAATAAATCTTCACTTGGACCTGAAGGAAACTGTTCAAACAGTGCAAGCAAAAGCTGCCAAAATGAGGCTCTACAGTTCTTGAAAGCTCCGTCCTCTTCTGACTACTCGTTCCAGCACCCATATCAACACATAGCACACCCACATCATTGTCAAAGCCACCAAAGAAGTTTGTACAAAGCCCAGTATTACCCTTACCCCTCATCCCAAATGGGGCACCCTCAAATGATGCCTTGCAACAGCCATTACGAACAGTCATGTATGTCCGCCACGATGGGTCTTCAAATGCAAGCCACAATGTCGTTTCATCACACACCACCTGGAGTTGACTACTCTTCTCCATGCATGATGCGAGCGTGGCCTTCGGGTCATCCTATGCACGACATCTTGTGCTTCCCACATCCATCAGCTTCGTTTGCCAGCAAGCATATGCCTCTACACGTCGAAGGTATGATGTCCAGCAGCGTCCCTACTCAACCTTACAGCGTAGGGAGTTACTACATGAAACCTCCTATAGCGCCAATGTACTTGCAAAGTTAATTATTATATCGTCTGCTGACTTCTAAACTTGAAGCATTCATCAACATTAGAAATCTTTGACAACGGCGGGTGCAGAAAGACAACTTGCGCCCCCTCGCCAGAACAATTTTAGAGGGCTCCGCCAGTTGTTGCTGCTCCCCCTCCCCAACAACACTTGCTAACTATGTATGGATATTCTATTTTCAAGTATTCATTTATTTGTACATTTCATTTTAAAATATATTAAAATATCTTATTTTCATTCAGCACATGCATACTACTACTATAATTATTACACACTTAAACATGGCTTAAATCCATAAGACAGAGATTTACTGGCTGGCTTTGCATTACTTGGTGGGATATTGATGCATGATAAGGCAGACGTAGTTAGGGCCTTATGGGAGAACGTGTACACTTAATTTGTAGGAGCAAATGGACCACCACAGTCTGGTGAGAGTTATGCTACGGGGAATGACGAGGAGATTTGGCCGATACTCAACACTGAAAGGAAGTCAAAAGGTTTGCCTTAATGTGTCAAAATCAGTGCAGACCTGGAGTACATGCTCTGCTGTCTGGTGCACATTTCCACAGGTGCACATGGCTGATACACCTATCTTGAATTTTGTGTACATGTGGTTACGTAATCGATTGTGCCCTGTTCTGAGGCGGAGGATAATGACTTCGTTCTGGTCTGTCAATAAAATAGTCGTCTTGTGACATAAACATCTGTTTCAATACTATATGCTATAAAATAATTAATTTAAATTTTATATTGAGATCTCATTTTTACGTTACGTTCTAATAACATGTCCGCACTATACATGTAGTAGGGCTGCCATAATATGGGGATGTGGACCCTTTATGCCCCTACCCCACCTCTTCTTCTTCCTTTCTAGTCCTGTAGTGCCTTTCAGCCTCAGATCCACCCCCCCCCCACCACAACCTCCCCCAATACCAAGACGAATTGTAGAGGGTTATGACCCGCTTCCCAACCTATTGAACTGTAAGGAAACAAAGTGGCCACTACCACCCAAGCACGTTGTCTTTTCAAGTACTTTTGTACGCATTTCATATTATTTCACATATTTATTTATTATTGTCATATTGTAGATATTTATTATTATTGTCATTATTATTTGTCATTATCACATTATTATAAATACGTACTTAACAAGGCATAATCGTTTTCCAGGCTCCTCAGAACACAGAATATGTTGCTGACGCACACTTTTCTCTGCCCCCCCCCCCCCCCCCCCCTCACTTTTTGCCCCACACGCCCCGAACCTATTTTTCCCGTTCGCAAATGCTTTTCTCTGTCGTTGCCAGGCCAGCCCAAAATATTTTGGGAAGAGTACCACAATGTTTCCGGGAAGTAGAGGCGGCCGGCGTGATGATGACCACATCACCCATCTTGTGCCGTTGGTCTATAAAAAAATATAGGTCTAGCCCTATATGCCCTTTACGCCTAATGGCGTGGAAAAGGGTCCTTTTACTGACAACAATGTTTTTGAAAAAGTACCAAAACACATCAAAAGTACAGCGATGTCAATTTTTGAAATGCAAAAATTATTAAAATATCTTCACTCACACACACACACATACACCACATACACACAAAACACACACACACACACACACACACACACACAAAACACGCACACACACACACACACACACACGCATACATATACAGCCTAACACAGATGCCAAATCTTTTATTTGATCGGAACTTTTTTTTTAGTCCATTAACATCATTGTATTAATAGTTTCCATGCAGCTTGTTACAAAGCTATTATGGCGGCTTCCAATTGGTGCACTTAATATTCTGAAGCAATAACTTTATTCTCATCATTGCTTTTATTGTCAAAAGACGATTTTAAGAAAAAAAAAAAAAAAATCCGTTATCGTTAAGCAGACAAAAAATCGTTTTCAGCAGCTGCAGAGGAATGAGATATTTATAACTAACCAAGTATAAATATGATACTAACGGAAAGCAGTTTCAATCTTCAGATTTTTTTTTTTTTTTTTTTTTGAAATCGTGAATGACATATCAAGGAAGATTGGCTAATAAACAGCATCCTTTCTCGAAAGCTGAAATATTTTGGTCACATCAAGCACCACGACGGATTGGAAAAAATTATAGCAGAAGGCATGGTACCAGGAAAGAGGGGCAGAGGCCGACGGACACGAAGATGGGCACAGGATATAAGTGACTCCTTCAGTGTGAAAGTTCATGGGGCGGGAGAACTGGCAAGAGACCGAGTTTCTTACAGGCAGACTGTGATGAAAGCGACGTTCTGCAAAGAACCTGCTACATGATGATGATAAATGACATATTCTGAAATTTTTTTTCCTGCATAAATTGGTTGATCTTGCAGTATTATTTCCCTCAGTTCTTTATACATCTTCCTCTTTTTGAGCACTGTCTGTAGCTCGGGCGTAAAGTTCTGGTTGTTCGTCCATGTGGACTTCTTGCTCTGTCCCAGGACCTGATTTCTCGTGCACATCCGCTTTACTGTGTTCCCTCCCTTTCGGGAAGATGTACATCGAATAAAGACGTCGATCCTATCTTTAGGACGACTGTGGCCATTGTTTCGTGGGGCATGATGTTGCCTCTTCGCCCATTTATCTACAGATATTGCGCCCAGAGAACCCATGTTGGGCAACCGGGCGTAGTCTGAGCAGCCTTCAATCAAAGGCTGGGGCTTCCATAAATGCAGAGCCGACATACAACACTCTGGTTCTGGCCTCACCTAAGAAATCGTCACGTCTTGCACATAACGGCTTACCCTCACAACCGTATTTTGGACTGTCAATTCGTCACGGGGTGCGCCGTCCGGAGATTAACAAGAAGCAGCCCGCAGGCCAAGGACTCTAACGATCACACAAATAGGTACATTCTTTTTTGTTGTTGGTGATGTTAGACACCTTTAACGTCGGTTCATTTGTGCGCTATGGAGAGGTAGGCATCAGGCATGGCTTCACCTGTTTCGTCCCAACCCTAGGGCAAGTCACCTATAGATACGGGTATTAGAACTTTTCTGCCAATATGATAATCGAACACTGAGATTTTGCTGGTGTGCCATTGGACAGGAAATTAGCTCGAGATGTGCCAAAGCCAATCAAGTAATGGGGCAACTATCTCCCCTGTTGACACACAAGCTGATACCTTGAAGTACTAATGTGAATCTTATCAGAACTATTTTTTGGCCAACACTATGCTATCAATGCCTGACGTGGACACCTACATCCGGCAATGAACGTAAAATTGTGACAACAGAGATGAAATGCCTTAGAAGAGCTGCAGGAGTTTCAAGGAAAGACAGAATACGAAATCAGACGAATGCTAGGAATAAAGCCAGTCTTACAGGTCATCAAAGAACAACACATGAAGTGGTTTGGACACCTAACAAGAATGCCCTGGTACTATCTGCCACAGGGAGCCACACTTAAACGTTACAACGGGTATAGAGCGAGTGAAAGACCTCCGAAAATAGGGAGTGATGGCATTAAGAACAGCCTTACATAAATGAATATTAGTCTTAAGAGTGCTTTTGACAGAGCTCATCGACGAAAGTTACATTTCCCCCAGACACTTCGATGAGGTACAAGATGGAAGAGAAGTAGAAAAAGAAGAGAAGTGATAGTAAATATCTTTGCCTGACATTTGAGGCTACCCAGTAGGCTGATAGTGGCTGACTGACTTGGTGTACCTCCGCGCGGTGTCGACGACGCCGAGGACTGACAGGATGTACGTAGGCAGTAAGATAGATTTACCGCGAAAAACCGCTCACAGGATATGTTACTGGTCTAAGCTGGGGGCAAATCTCGTGGTCAAGGGCTTAGTCTAATCAGTTCAGGTTTTTAAAAAATATTAGTTATACTTTTAGCCGAGAATTGTCATTAAGTGATAAAATCAGCAAGCATAGTTAACTCATGTTCTAAAGGAGTTGTACCAGAGGTTTTCACCCATGCTTTTTTGGGGTGGGCTGATGTAGGTCAGGCTGGACTCATCTCTGGGGGGCCACCAACTTTGAGATTCCATGTAAGCTCTGTTAATACTCATTTGAGATATTATCCGAGGCGCACGACAAAGACGTGCAACAGTAGTCTCGCATGAGGTTACGTGAAACAACTATAGAGAGGGCTGACGTCCTGGGTCAAGTATCGCCTTAGACAAATCACATCGGACTTAACTTTCCCTCCTGCCTGTTCCCGAAATCGCTGCTCCACGATTCATCCTTTATTTGTGTATAATGTTCTCCTTCAACAAGACTGGGACATTTCATTTCTAGTCACACAAATGACGTCGGTCTTCCGTCTGTAATATTGGCTGAACCCAGCGCCTGAAGTAACAGAAGCATGTAATGAATTCACATGATATCTGTTGTAGTAGACCAGTGGTTCTCAAACTTCCTAATGCGGCGACCTTTTCATACAGATCCTCTTGTTGTGGCAACCCCCAACCATACAATTATTTTCGTTGCAACTCATAACCTTCTGTGAATATGTGTTTTCCAATGTTCTTTGGCGACACCCGTAAAAAGGTCGTTCGACCCACAAAAGTGTTGCGACCCACAACTTGAACAGCTTCTTTAGACAAATAAAAAATTTTCAGCACACTTTCGATCACTTTCTTTTTTAGTGCCTAAATTAAGAATAAAAAAAAAAAATTAAATATCGATAAAGAAATTTGTAAAACGTACTAAAACATCGGGGAGTCGCTGTGGTGTAGTAGTGGCCAGACGCACGCCTGCATATATTGGAAGGTTGTGGCTTGGAATTTTAACGCAGCCGGACTTTTTTCAAAAATGACATCGGCTAAAAAAAAGAACCAGCCTTGAAGGGATACCAGGTGCAGTCCTGTGAAGTAAAGGCAGCCAGCGTGATGCTGACCACGTCCTCCATCAAATGTCGATGGTCTATAAAATATAGTTCTAGACCTATATGCTGCTGTTGTTATTGAATTGTATATTGAATAGTAGTTGTGACAGTACACAACCCTGTCTTACTCCTGT